TGGAATTACAAGACTAGGCTAGAAGGTCATATAAAAGCAATTTATTGCATTGTACTCAGTTAAAATATTTTTTTCCTTAGATAAATATATGACTACAATTGGTTTTCCATCACTCATCTGTCAGCTTATGGTACTGTGGTAGCTTGTGTGTTGCTGTAATACTGGAAACTAGGCTATTGGTATCTTCAATACAAGTAGGGTCACCCATGGTGAACAGGTTTCAGCAGAGCTTCCAGTATAAGGAAGACTAGGAAAAAGGAGAGGTGAACCTCTTCTGAATGGTTAGTCAACAAAAATCTTATGCCTAGCTGTGAAAATTTGTCAGATATAGTGCCAGAAGATGAGTCCCTCAGGTGGAAAGGCACTCAAAATAAGCCTGAGAAATAGCTTAGAGTACAGTTGACCTTAATGATGACAGCATACTTAGAAAAATGAGGGTTGAAAAAAGAGGATGACTCCCAATGAGCTAGACTGACACAGTGGCAGCAACAATGGGCTAAAACATAACAACAATTATGAGGATGGTGCAGGACTGGGCAGTGTTTCATTCTGTTGTGTATAGGAATCGACTTGATGATAAAAACAACAACACCACAATTGGTTTTTAATTTTAATATCAGCTAGCATTCCCAGAAAAGTGTTTCTAGCAACAGCCCATAAATAAAGGTATAAATTTATACCAGTAAGGAAGAGTGGCATGTTCTTTAAGAAAAAAACAACAAAGCAAAGGCATGTAAAAACTGTAACTACAAAAGCATACATGAGATTAAGTCAAAAAGTATTGCTTCAAAAAAGTATTGCTATAGAAACCTTTATTAAACAAAAATATCATGAAGTGAAGTTATTATTTATAAACATAGCTTCCATCTAGGTCTATAAATGTCTAAAGAAGGGGTTCCCATCTCTTTACGCCTTCCCCAAAGAATTCTGCACTCTCTGATTTACACCACATCAAAACAACAGTTTGGCATCCTCAGAGGATCCAGGTTATGCTTGTTTTAAATATTCTTTGGGTTTTGACAGTAAAAAGAAGTATGAAGGAGGAAAATCAGGGTTGTAGGGTAGACAGAGTAAGATTTATCAACAAAAGTCTCTTAGGACAGTCTTTGCTACCCTCAAAGAATGAGCAGGCACATTGTCATTATGGAAAAAAGTTTCTTTGCAAAACTTCCCTAGCTTTTTTCTCTCCAATGTAGTTTTCAATTTTCTTAAAACTTTGTCATCATAATTCTCCATGACTGTCCTGTGCTTTCCACAAAAATCTATCAAGATTGCCACTTTGGAATCCCATTAAAAGCCACCATAACCTTCTGAGCTGAGCTCTCTCCCTTAAGTTTAACTAGCCCAGTGGATCTCCTCAAAAAGTATTGTTTTGATTGGACTTTTTTTTTAAGGCACCTTAATGAGACTTTTTGTTGTTGTTGTTGTTGTTGTTAGGTGCCATCAAGTCAGTTTCAATGAAGAGAGATTTGATGCACAACAGAACAAAGCAGTGCCCATTTCTGTGCTACCCTCACAATATTGCTATGTTTGAGTCCATTGTTGCTTCCACTGTGTAAATTGAGATATCTTTGGGGGTCTTCCTTTTTTTCATTGACTCTCCACTTTACCAAGAATTGTGTCCTTCTCCAGGGACTAGACCTTCCTGACAACATGTCCAAAGTACTAGAGAAGAACTCTCATCATCCTGGCTTCTAAGGCGCATTCTGGCTGTACTTCCAACAGATTTGCTTGTTCTTCTGGCAAACCATGGTACTTTTAACACAAAACCATAATTCAACTGCATTAATTCTTCTCCAGTCTTCTTTAATCATTGTCCGATTTTCACATGTATATGAGGTGACAAAAACACAAAGGCTTAGGTCAAGTACACCTTAAACCTCAAATTGTTATCTTTATTCTTTAACACTTTAAAGAGGTCTTATGCAGCAGATTTGCATAATGCAACACTTTGTTTGATTTTTTGACTGCTGCTGCCATAAGTGTTGGTTATGTATCCAAGAAAAATGTAGTCTTTGACAACTTCAACTTTTTCTACATTGATCATGATGTATTTACTGACCCAGTTGTGAAGATTTTGTTTTCATTACATAGAGGTGCAATCTGAAGACTGTGTGTTGTTGTTGCTAAGTATCATCAAGTTGGTTCAGATTCATAGTGATCCTATATAGGTTTTCCAAGGAGCAGCATAGTTTTTGATAGTCATAAGTATTTTCAGTTATCTTTGCTTCCAGCAAGCAAGATTGTGTCACCTACATATTGCAGATTGTTAATGACTCATTCTTCAACCATAATGACACATTCTTCTTCATATAATGCAGCTGACAGATTGAATAAGTACGGTGAAATGACACAACCCTGGTGCACAACTTTCCTGATCTAAAACCAGTCAATATCTCCTTGTTCTGGTCTAATGAAACTAAGATAAGTATATTATTGAGATAACTTGTCTACAGCAATTCACTGATTATAGAGACATGGCTAAGCACATTATGTTTGGAATTGTTGTTGTTAGGTGCCATCGAGTAGGTACTGACTCATAGCGATCCTATGCACAGCAGAACGAAACACAGCCCGCTCCTGGGCCAGCCTCACTATTGTTGCCATGCTTGAGTCCATCGATGCTTCTACTTGGCCAATCCATCTCATTGGGGGTCTTCCTCTTTTTCTCTGATCATCCACCTTACCAAACATGATATCTGTCTCCAGTGACTGGCCCCTCCTGAAAATATGTCCAAAGTATGAGAGACGATGTTTGGCCCTCTTGGCCTCCAAGGAGCATTCTGGCTGCACTTCTTCCAACATGGATCTCTTGGTTCTTTTGGCAGCCCATGACACTTCCAGTATTCTCCTCCAACGCCATAACTCAGATACATCAATTCTTCTATGGGCTTCCTTATTTACTGTCCAGCTTTCACATGCATATGAAGTTATTGAAAATACCATGGTTTGGGTCAGGCGCACCGTAGTTCTCAAGCTGACATCTTTGCTCTTCAACACTTTAAAAAGGTTTTGTGCAGCAGATTTGCCTAATGCAATATATCATTTGATTTCTTGACTGCTACTTCCATGAGTGTTGATAGTTGATCAAAGACGAATGAAGTCCTTGACAAATTCAGTCTTTTCTGCGTTGATAAGAATCTTGTTTATTGGTCCAGTGGTGAGGATTTTTGTTTTCTTGACATTGAGATATAATCCATACCAAAGGCTGTGCTCTTTGATCTTCATCAGTGACTGTTTTAAGTCCTCTTCACTTTCAGCAAGCACAGTTGTATCATCTGCATATCGCAGGTTGTTAATGAGTCTTCCTCCAATCCTGATGACATGTTTTTCTTCATATAACCCAGCTTCTCAGATTATTTGCTCAGCATACAGGTTGAATAAGTATGGTGAAAGAATACAACCTTGTCGTATACCTTTCTTAATTTTAAACCATTCAGTTTTCTGTTCGAACAACTGCCTCTTGGTCCAGGTACAGATTCCTCATGAGCACAATTAAGTGTTCTGGAATACTCATACTTCGCAATGTTGTCCATAGCTTGTCATGATCCATACAATCGAAAGCCTTTGCACAGTCAATAAAGCACAGGTAAACATCTTTCTGATATTCTCTGACTTTAGCCAAGATCCATCGCACATCAGCAATGATATCCCTCATTCCACGGCCTCTTCTGAATCTGTCTTAAACCTCTGAAAGTTCTCTGTCAATGTATTCTTGCAGCAGTTTCTGTATTACCTTTAGTAAAACTTTACTCGCCTGTGCAAGTATGAACTGGAACAATGATAACAATACTTTTAGACCTACCTTCACACACCACGTAAGGTTAAACTATTTCTAAATTAAAAAAAAAAAAAAAGTCATTTTTATTACCTATGGCCAGACTCGACTTTTTAAAAAGACAAGTAAGGTTTGTTTGGAATAAACCTTATTCACATACTTCACAGCTGTCTCTTTAATTCCAAACACCATTTTAAAGCAAATAATTTAAAGAACCAAGCAAAGTACCTTAATTCAATTTATTTGTTTTGCTTCGATCAAATAACCACCACTTTGTTAAAATATATGCTCTTTTTCTTCCTTTGAAAAAGATTTTTTTTTTCTTGTAAAATGTGGCAGTGATGGGAAAGTTCTAAAAAATGAGAATAAGACTATTTCTTCAAACTCTGATAGTTACATTTGTTACTGTTGTTAAGTGAAATCAAGTCGGTTCCAACCCATAGTGACCCTGTATAGGGTTTCTAAGCAGTAACTGGTGAGCTTGAACTGCTGACATTGCGGTTCAAACCAACTTTGTAGTCCAGTGCATTAACCCACAGCACCACACCAGAAGTCCCTATAAATTTTCATGGCAAGTAATTTTGATTGTCTAATGTATTGTTTTTATTCATTAAAGATATATGTTGATGAATTTTAGATCATTTGAGAAAATCTATGAAAAACCTCATTTAATATATTTGTAATAAGAGTTTCGATCCCAAATCTTCTTGTCCAGAGACAGAAAGCAAATTTATTGAGTCAATAAAAGAATTGAATATAATGTATGATTCATTAAATTCTATCAAATCTGCCATTATTATCATTTCCCAATGTTCCTTTTTCTCAGCACAGCCTTCATGTTATATAGTTCACTGTGCCCTGGAAATACTAGTATCCTGTCAGAATACTAGTAAAAAGTACTATCTACTCTTTTAAGGAAAATAATCTTAATCTCAGCTAGTGAAATGCTTACTATTAAGAAAATTTCCTGTCATATCTCTTTAGGAATTTTTGGCCATACTTTGGAAAATGTCCACTTAAAAAAAAAAGCTGAATAATGAAAAATGTTAATGTTTAATTTCTAAGACTCCTTTAAATTAAATTTCCTAAAATAAAAATTTGCACCTGGATTTTATCATTATACAAGTAACTGAAGAAACCCAAAGCCTGCAGTTTCTAGTTAAAATGCCTTTTGTTTGCCAATTTCTGCTTCTCATTTAATTGTCCTGGTATTACACAGTACCTCACGGGTTTCCTTTCTCGAAGCAAATCTTCCAAACTCTGTTCACAGTGTTCAGCTACCACCACCAGTCTCTCTGAGTAAAACAAAGCAAATATACTTTATATTTTATTAATACAAACTTTTGATAATGAAATAATATACATCACTGAAGATAATATATAGTACAAAATAATAATACCTTCAAAAGCTTTTCAGATTCTATTAATTATATAATTACCAACTGCACAGAATAGTAGGCTATATGTATAGCTCTACAGAATAAGCACTGAACTATGAACCACAAGGTCGGTGGTTTGAGCCCACCAGCTGCTCTGTGGGGAAAAGCTGAAGTTTTCTGCTCCCACAAAAAGATTTAAAGCCTTGGAAACCCTCTACAGAGTCGCTATGAGTTGAAAACTGACTCTACAGCACTAAACAACAACATGTCTAATAAAACAATATATTAAATAAGAGGTGTTTTCAATTTCTGTTGTTATTTAGAGATTCTCCCAAGTACATCGGAAAAAAGCAAACGGAAAAGTTAACTTTGAAAGAAAAAAAGTGATTCTTTTTCTGACATAGACTCAGAGAAGGAACAGATTCGATGAAGACATACAGAAATTTTGAAGTAAATGAGAATTGGGAAGTTAAGGATAAATTGCTAGATAATCTTCTACAAATATCAGTGTCAGGGAGCGGTTAAGACACCTGGCCCTAAGTCTCTCTTACACTGGGATCAAAAAAGGGTGTGGGGTGGGGAGACATTTCTAGTCCAACAAGAATGATAACATTGAGAAAAATAGCCTGGAGACAGAAATAAGGTTATCATGAACTGAAACCCTAATAGAAGCAGCTGGTCTCAGGGATACAATCCATGAAGATAGTGCCTAGAAGTGACAACTGCAGAAGGCATTCCATTTCTAAGAAACCTTCACCCCTTTACTAAAAAATGATGAATATTCACATACCTCTCCTCCTAATCAATATGTATTAGCACACTCTTGGAGGAGGAAACCCCATACCTTTATAAGCCAGTATACGCAAACCACACAGGTTCTTCTTCACTCATGGAGACAGACCCGCTTCTCTCTTTGAAGTGTACGTTTGCTTTGCAATAAAGAACTTCTAAGTGAAGGCTTATTGTTCATGTGTGACTGAGAAACAGCAACTTGGTGGGACTCATTCTTTAGATACCCCTAGAGCGAGAGGGACCAAGGAAAAATGTGACACCAGGTCTTTGAAATTGACTTAAGTAACATGAGAAAAGTAGAAATGTTCTGAATAATTGCTATGGAGAAAGAACAACCAAAAAATAGTAAACTTGGGATTGTTTACAGTATCATGGTATCTACTAAGAATAAATAGGATAAAACTGTGGCTAAAAAAACACAAAAACTCAGCAATAACAGAGAAGTTCAAAAAAAGCCGACAACAATAAATGCTGGTGAGAATGTAGAGAGACTGGGACCCTCCTACATTGCTGGTGGGAATTCAGAATGGTCCAACCACTCTGGAAAACAGTATGGAACTTCCTCAGAAAATTTGAAATAGAAATACCTTATGATCCGGCAATTCCTCCAATTGGTATATATCCTCAAGAAATATGAGCCACAACATGAGTAGATACATGTATACCAATGTTCACAGCATCACTATTCACAATAGCAAAAAGATGGAGACAGCCTAAGTGCCAATCAATGGAAGAATGGATAAACAAACTTTGGAATATACACACAATGGAATATTACACTACCATGAAGAATAACAAGGAAGCTGCAAGACACCACATAACATGGATGAACCTTAAAGACATCGTGCTGAGTGAAATTAGTCAGTCACAAAAGGGCAAATATTGCATAAGATCATTATTGTAAATGCTTAAGAAAAGATACCCATACTAAAAGGGAAAACAAAAACAAAACAAAAAAACTTTCTTGGTTACCAGGAGGTGAGGGCAGTGTGTGTGTGTGTGTGTTGAGGGGGGGGCGGGGAGGGGAGATAGAGGTCAAGGGGACTATAGAGCACAGGGTAGGGAATAGACACATCATAGTTCAAGTGTTGGGGAGGGAAATGAGGGGGAGGGCTATGGAAGAAAAAGGTAGATAGGGGAATACTGAAGTACGTTTGCATGGACTAAATGGGACAGAGGTAAATAGTGATGTGTGCTCAACCTTGGAACAACAAGGCTCTGTGTTACAGGGTTTGAGGCATAATCTGAATGGGTAAAAGAGGAGAAATAATGTTAACATACTGCACTGTCTTATGAATACTGGTTTTCCTTGCCTACTACTGTAAAATAGACACATTAGAGGGATAGAAAGGAATATCAGGAAACATGATTAGGGAAAGCTTATAAGCCCGTCTTCAGCCTATACCTGATTGGAATACCTAAAAGGGGTTCTAGAACTTGCCCAGTGAGATGTGCTTCCTGTGGAGCCTTTGTAGTGTATAGGACCTTAAGTAGAATTCTGAGCCCCAGGACATAGCCATGGAGGGCCACAGCTGAGACTAAAGCATCCAACTGATAGTAAGTGAGGGGAGACATAGAGGAATGCCCAAACTTGTAGATAGTACCCATTCAACCTAGCCTTCATGGCTTG